TAAGCAAAGTCTCAGCGAAAAACAATTTTTTTAAAGTTTCTGGGTAGAAATAGTTTATTAGTGCCCAAAATGTTACACAACGCGCGATGAGCCCTGATGGCAGGAGAACCACATCTTACAAGCTCTTTTGTATACTGCACTACGCGGGAGTCTCATAAGGGTGCACAAAAAACAGCTCTGTACATCTGCCACTGAAAATTTTTGCTCCCCTTAACGTTTCAAACCCTTTGAATTTTTCCCTGCTATTGTTACTTTTGGTCACTCAACGTTTTGGTACACCAAATGGAATAAAAAATATTTGGAAGCTTGATTTGATATCTGATTTTTGATAACTTGCTACCTGTCTTGACCGACGACCCGTGAACTCATCGCGAGGGCTTTTTTGAGTAGATTCAAAACGCCCCCCCCCCACTGAAGTACAGCCTCTCCCCGAGCAGCATAAGTTAAGAATGCAGATGATCTGCTGGAGCGATTGTTGGCAAGATAGCAATGGTATAATACATGGGTTAGCCATATACTTGCCCACCGCTGCTCAACCAAGTTTTCCTGCGAGGTGTTTGGCCGTCCCTGTTACCATTTTACAGTGAGCGTCTGATAATCATGCCTCGACCTTCCAAGGAAGTGTTCACACCGGGAGCGTTGAAAGATGGAGAAGGGAGTTAGAGCGCTCACACACTTGCTCAAAGACTTCGCATGACCCACTGTTGTCATGCCTTCAAATGTTGAAGGAAACGAAACTTGTCTAGATGCCAGAGCCCAGAAGTATTTTCACTGGGGGAATTTCATTGAAATGAAAGATGATAACCGTCAACGGGGCTCTTATACTAACAAGTTGCAAGAAAAGCAGATATAGTTAGAGTGCAGGACAAAATAATCACAAGAACGTGTATGCTACCTTTCTATTTAGTATAGATTCAGGTGTTTGCCCTCTTTCAAAGTTTCAAAAGGATTCGCCGTTAAGAAGCTTGGAAGAAAACCGTTCTCCCTACCAAAGAGGTAATTCGCTCGACAGAGATGAATAAAACGTTTGCTTCTGTTATTCGCTGATACTGTGACACACTCGATGCTGCCATCCCACCCCATAAAACCCATAAAAGACGCAAGTGCTTAAGCTCCTCTCTTTACGGCACATGGTGGCTGGCGCTGTGATTAAACTTTATTTAGTTGGCGTAATTACATGGTTCCCGCAAATAAAGCAGCTACTGAGGTCTACAAAAAAATCGTAGAACAAGTTTCATATAGTTGTGGTACTGTATAGAGTTACATGCTTGTTGTTTACTCACTTTGAGGTTGTTTCAGTATTCCATGTAAATTTTACCTCTCAAGTATATCGGAAATAGCA